CCCGGAGTGCTGTTCGGTCGTGGGCAATGTTGTTGATCTTGTTGATCCATCCTCTACAATGTTGGGGATTGTTGACAATGTCTCTGAGATAGGTGAGGTGAGCTGGTGCGTCGTTGGGGTCGCTCTTGTCGTCAAGGGGGTTGGTGTTTCGAGTGGTGATGTGGACACGGATTCCGAAGTGGAATCCTGGAGGAACTAGGATAGGTTCAGGGTTCTCTTCCTGGTGTCGCCGGAATTCGCTGGCAATTTCTTCAAGAGCTGTGGCGATTCCTTGCTGAATGTCATTGACGGTGAGCTCGGGTTCAGGGCTGTTACAGTTGACCAAAGTTTCTCTTGAACCAAAGGGGCAGAAGCCAAGGATTCAGGGGGTGTGGTTTCTCCGAGAGTAGCCCCGGGACTGCCATTGCGGTAGCAGAATGAGTAAGGGGCCATGCTGTAGTAGTTGACTTGGGAGTTGGCTGCTGAGTGGTTGGGGTGATTCTTTTGACCTCTTTATACCTTTTCAGGATTTCCGCTGTGTTCTTCAGGTTGCCTTCTGGTTCCCATGAATTCTTGGCTGTGGATTGGTGTTTTTACTTAACTAAATACCGGCAATGTCTGTACCAGGGCCAGTGTGTGAGAATTGCTTCTACCTTGTATTCATCATGTCCATCAACAATCTCTGGTGGTGGTTCTAGGAAGTTCTTCCCATGCTGTGGTGTCTCGTGGTATGGCGTAAGCAGGGAAGCATGTACCACAGGATGGATCTTCATAGTGTTTGGAAGGGCTAGTTTGTATACTAGCTTCGAAAGAACCTTCTGCACTTTGAATGGTCTATGTTTCTTGGGTGCCATTTTTTTGAAGGGGTAACCGTCTTTGTGGTGAGTCATCTCCAGCCATACTTTCTGACCTTTAGTGAATGGGGTGAATTTCCGATATAGTCTTCCTGCCATTTGTGCCGTGGCATAGTCTAAGGCCGCTCCTGCTTCTTCATGGGCCTTCTGTCTTATCTGAAGCCATTCTTGAATTGACGGCACCTTTGATCGTGCGAAGTTTGTTGGGAGTGCCTTAGGGTGTGAGCCAAACATGAGAAAGAATGGAGAATGTTTCGTCGCAGAATGTTCTCGATTGTTGAATGCAAATTTGGGGTTTGGAATGTAATCGGCCCAGTCGTGGGGGTGGGCGGAACAGAATATCTGGAAATACGCCTCGATCTCTCTATTCATGCGTTCGGTTTCTCCGTTGGTTTGTGGATGATACGCTGTGCTCATTTTTCCTTCTATGCCGGTTAACTTCCAAAGTTCTTTCAAGACAAAGGAGTCAAATTGAGGTCCTTGGTTGGACAGGAACTTGTCCGGCATTCCAAATCTCTGGAAAACATGGTTGTGGTAGAACGTTGCCATCATTGTTGCGTCCGTCTTTTCCGTATAGGGGATTATAATTACCCCCTTTGCAGAATCATGGTCGACCATGACCATTAAGGATGTAAAGCCACGTGAGAGTGGTAGTGCAGTGATGAAGTTGCATGTGACGAATGCGAAAGGCCTAGACTGGTGGGTTGCCACTATCGGTTGCAGTGGTGGAGTGGTTGAATGAGTGTTGACCTTCATTTGTTGGCATGCCGCGCATCCTTGGATGTAACTGGACACGAACGATCGTATTCCTGGCCAGAAGAAGTTACACGTTAGTAATTCCGCTGTTGTGAACCGTCCGAGGTGTCCAGATATTGGAGTATCATGGTAGAGCATTGTGACTTCTCGTCGAAGTGCGAGGTCGGATAGTACATAGCATCGGGATTGGTAGTACAGGACGCCATTGCTTTCTGTCCAGTCATTCATGGTCGTTCGTGCTGGAAATGGGATTGCATTATTTTGCATTGCCATGCGAATGGAGTTTGCATAGTCATCTGTTTGTCCCGTCCTTCTGATGTGATCTAGTAACGCATCATCGGTATTCGCTACCGTGAGGTTTTGTGGGTCATCTATTTGCATCAGCAGAGATTGAGCAATGTGTAGCGAGCAAATGTTTGTTCCCACAAAAAGTGTGTCCGGTAGGAAGATTTGATCAATATTGTCATCCGCCGAGTGTGAGGGTCCGGAATTTTGGGTGAGAGCATCCGACTGTACAAGTTGTGAAACCGGACAGTGATGAAGTGTAAAGTCAAACTGGGAAAGGAATAATTGCCATCTTGCTTGTCTCCGGTTGAGCCGTCTGGCAGCACAGAAATATGTCAAGTTTTTGTGGTCAGTTAATATCCGGAGTGGAAATCGTGTTCCAAGGAGATAGTGTCGCCACGCTTCCAAAGCCCTGACGATGACAAGAAGTTCACAGTCGTAGATCTTGTAGTTTCGTTCAGCTGGTAGGAGAGATTGGGAGAGATAGGCGATGGGGTGCCAGTCGCCATTGATATCCTGTTGACGGAGCACTGCAGCGGTTGCAACTAGTGATGCATTGCATTCCAGAACAAACAACTTGGTTTAATCCAGCATTAGTAGGACAAGGGCCATGGTGAATCGCCGTTTGAGCTTGTCGAAGGCTTTCTGACATTCTGGGGTCCATATAAATGGCGCGTCTTTCTTGGTAAGATCCACCAATGGTCGTACAATGTTGGAGTAGTGATCTATGAACCTTCTGTAGAAGTTTCCAAAACCTAGGAAATCTCGTACTTGTTTGACTGTGGTAGGAGTCGGCCATTGTAGCACTCCGTTGACTTTTACCGGATCCATCTCAATTTTGTTGTGCGAGACGATCATTCCCAGGAATTCAACTTTTTCGACATCGAAGACGCATTTCTCTGGTTTGAGATATAGGTCGTTTTCCTGAAGTCGTTGGACGACTCGAATCGTCTTGCACTGGATGTCCGCTGAGTCTGTTCTGCCTATTAGAATGTCATCCATGTAGATCTAAATCCACCCTTCTGTGATCATGTCTTGAAATATGTCATTCATCATGGCTTGGAAAGTTGCTGGGGAATTGCATAGTCCGAAGAACATAACTGTGGGTTCGAAGAGTCCTCGGCTTGTTTTGAACGCCGCCTTCCATTGGTCTCCGTCTTTGATTCTGATGTTATTGTATCCTGATCGAAGATCCATTTTGGTGAACCGTTTCCATCCTTTGATTCGATTGATTGGATCAGATATCAGTGGTAGTGGATAGGAGTTCTTGACTGTTCCTTCATTGAGATAGCGGTAGTCTTGACAGGAGCGTAGATCTCCATCCTTTTATCTGACAAACAAGAAGGGGGAGGCCATAGATGATTTGAACGGGCGAATGTATCCTTTTCGTAGATTCTCATCGATAAAGTCATTCATCTTTGATTCTTCTAACGGAGACAGCAGGTAGATCTTGCAATCTTTAGGGGCAAACTCCGGTTTAAGATCAATAGCATGGTCGTAAGATCTTTCTTTGAGAAATCTTTCCGCAGCTTTCTTCTCGAATATTCTCGAATACCGATAAATAAGATTGAAGATAATCTGGGAGTGTCATCTCAGGTTTCCGCATTTCTGCTTCTTGTGCAAATGTCATTGCTGGATTGATTTTCATTCAAATTGAGAGCCCTAGTATTGCCTGCGCGATCGTAGTTGTGACCGGGATGGTGTGGATTTCATCTGAATTAGGTATCCAAGCGGCTACATAATCTCCAGTTATTTTGTCGTCTTGTTCAATAGTCGTTGACAAGATACGAAAGAGAGGTGGTGCTTCTGGGTCAATCACCATGCAAAGGGCCCGGATGGTGGTATCCAACATTGGTTGAAACCTATCACTTATACCAGTTGATCCAAAACCCTGGTTTCCTCGTTTTGTTGCGAGTAATTCTTCTACTTTATGGATTGGTAGTTGGGCGATTCGCTCTACAATCACCTGGGCAATGCGGTCACCTTTGGTGACTGTGAAAGGAGTATTTCCGTGATTGACCAGAATAACTTGTATCTCTCCAGTATAGTCTCTATCAACTACCCCTGCTGCAACATCAATTTTCTTGAGTGCTAGTCCACTTCGTGGGGCAATACATAGGTAGGTGCCAGGTGGAGGTGTCATTTGTAATCCGGTTGGTATCTTTGCTCGAATGTGAGAGAGAATGACCAAGTCTTCTATTGCAGTGAGATTGTATCCTGCTGCTTCTGGAGATCCCCTTGTTGGGACATCTCCTCTATTGCATTGGACTAGGAGGTGTTCGGTGAGGAGTCTTGCATCATCAGCAGAGGACACTTGGATGATTCTGCCTTCCGAGTCTGGTTCTTCTTCCATAACCACCTTTCGAGTGGTGAAGTCTAGTATTCCGTATTTCCAGTTAATCTGTGGGTTGTGATGTTGCAGCCAATCAATTCCTAGAATAGCATCTTGCTTTCCTAGGTGAGTAATAAACATCCGTTCTTTAGTTGCTTTGCCGCCGATTTGTATCGTGGGTTTTACATAATTCTGGATAAATTCAAGTCGATTGAGAGTTCCATTGACGTTGAATACTGGTATTAGTTTCTCTAGAGGGTATTCACAGAGTTGTAATCTTTGCACAACTTGTCGGTCAATGAACTTGCCCTGGGCTCCAGAGTCGATGAGCGCATTGATCTGTGTTTCAGCATTTCCTTTCGATTTCATGATAACAAGTAGTTTCATTGCCTGGGCCTTCATATCTGCTACTAGTACAGATGAAATCGAAATTTGAAGAGGTTCAACAACTGGTGTTGACCTCACTGGGTAAAATCCGAGTTATCGTCCTTTCCTGTGCGGTTGTAGTAGTGGTCGTAGATGATTCAGTCGAGATTGGGTAGTGGGATGGAGCTCAACATGGTGTCAACGTCAATGTGCGATGGAGTTGTAGGAGTCGTGTGCAAATCTGCCGGAGTTGGGTTGCTAACTGGAGGTGGATGAGGGGAGCTTGGATTTCCGTCCCATTGAGTGACTTGGACGTAAGGGTGATTTCCGGATGGATTGCCTTGGTAGTTCCTCCAGTTTCCTCTACCTCCTTGACCTCTGCCCCTTTGATTTCCTCCTCCTCGGTATGATCCTCTTCCTCCTGCTTGTCACAGTTGTCTGCATTCTCTGGCAATATGCCCGAATTTTCCGCAATTATAGCACTTAATTCTGCTTTGTCCGGTATTAAGGGCGTCGACATCCATAGCATTGGGATCACGAGTGGAGGATGCCGGGGTGTTTGTCATGGCTCCGGGATTGGTGGGAGGGTGCGTCTGCCTGTTTTTGATATGCCTGAGAATTCCGAGCCTGTTGTCTAGCTCGAGGGCTTGTTGTTGCCACTGGGAGAGTGTGGCGTTGATTGGCATATGGGCGATCAGTTGGCGCGCAAGAGATTCCTTTAATCCACAAAGGTATTGATGGAGGAGGTTACCATTGGCGTCTGGGTTGACTATCTCTGCTTCTGCTATTAACGTGTTAAAATGCACATTGTACTCGTTGACTGTTTCATGGTCCTTCTGTACAATCTGATGGAGTTTGACCATGGCTTTGGATTTTGGGTCTATTGTTTTGTAGGCTTCCAAGAAGTCTTGGCGATGTGTGGCCCAGGTGGGCCACTCTTAAAGAAGATATAACTTCTCCTTGACTGTTGCCCATTTCCGGGGTTGTTTCTTCCCTGAGTCTTTCATGAGTGAGTCTGCAAAGCGAATCTTTGCCTGGTTGTTTGGGAATCGCGAGGCCTTTGAGAGGAAATACATCTCGCATTGATGGATGAAGTCTCGGGCTTTCTTGATATCTCCGGAAAATTTGGCTGGTTTGCCTATTTCTTCCTGAGGAAGGGCGTTGCACAAGGCAGCATTGAATGCTGCTAGCAGCTGAGGATCAATGGGGTTTGGTCCTAAAGCCACTGGGATTGGTCCTCCTCCATCTCCAGGTGGTCCATCTCCGCCTTCACCTCCAGGTTGTCCGGGAATTCCTCCTGGAAGTCCTTGACCTCCGATGTGGGTGGCTGCAGTCCATACTGGTGCTGGTGCTGGTGGATTATGAACATATTGCAGCGCTTGATGTAGTTCAGCTATGGTGGCTTGCCCTTGGAAGTGTGTACACTGGAGGAGTTCTTCTAACAGCTCCTCATTAGTGAGGGTTGTTGTCTGTGTTGCCATGTTATCTTCTGGTACTTCCAGTTGTTGGTCAACGTCTTCTGGTTCTTGGTCAGTGTCTGAGAGGGCTTCGAAAGTATCTGTGAAGTCATCTCTTAGGTCTCCCTCTTGTCAGGCTTCGATATGCTCTGCGGATTGGTCTCTGGTGACCTCGATGAGCTGATCAGGGATTTTCTCAATCGCTTCGGTGTTTGATTCATCGTCTCTGTGTATGCAGATGACTTCTCTGCACCTGTGCCACTTGTTGTCTCGTGTCCAGAAATGGTAGTCTCGTCGTTGGCTAGTGTGGTGTCTGTGTGCTTGATTCCAGCACCTTTCTGGTGCAAGTTCAGTGCTTTGCTGACTTGTAGTTCTGGTGATGGGGGGTTGGACCATGTACGTCTGGTCACCGGTGAAGGGAGCTTTGGCCTAATGTAGAAGTTGTAATGCACAGAACATGGACTTGAGCAAAGTCTGGGAAATGATATAGAAAGTGACTGATAATACAGGAGGCCGAAGCTAAAGTACACGACATTTCCAGAGGGTATTTATACTAACCTAGCTACTGCGGGATCAGCAGAGAAGGGACAACGTATATACAAGAATGTCCTGGAAATGGAAGTGGTTCGGAAATTGCACGGAGAAGAATAACTCGAAAAAGGATAGAACCTTCGAGTAGCGCTATTTGTCTGGAGAATAGAAAAAGGAAAAAACATATGCCGGGACGACGGACCAATTGTAACAGCAGCCTCCTTGTCCGAATCTCCCACACTATCATTTACGAGTTCAGGCTCATCAACGTCAGTAGGGCCAGTAGTGTTCCCATTCACGGTTGCATGTTCCAAAGTGTCATCAACAATGTTGACTGCTCGTTGGAGCTCTTGAGGATCCTCTTCAGCAAGGCTGGCCTGGACTGCTTCAACTGCAGATGGGATTGCACCAGTTTGAAGAACGAGCTGCGCTTCGATTTGGCGGGCCTCATCCTCAGAACATGGTAGGCTGATAGCTAGGAGAAACTTCGCGTCTGCATGGAGCTTCTCTGTGAGCAGTAGCGCCGCTCGCATATGCTTGCAGGCTCCACCTCGCTTTTAGAAGTCGGGACACATGCATGTTGCATTACCACGCAGTCCGAGAACAACCTCATATGTGATCGGGTTCTTGTCATGTGGCATTGCAAGTGACAAGTAGCAGGCAAAGCGGAGTGCAAGCGTGTCTTCGAGAAATTCAGGAACTTCAATCTGCTTGCGTTCTAGGAGAGCCTGAGCTCTGGCATCGCATGCAGCATCGGGCCCTGTCTAATAGGCAACTGGGTGCAGCCAGGGCTTGCCTGACTGGGTTTGATGTGCTGCTCGATGCTGTTTGAGAAGCTCTCGCCCACCAGGCAAAGCTGTGATCTGCGCCTTCCATTCAAGAGTCGATGCTCTCACGGCTGCCTGCTGCTGGAATATTGCAGGCAGTATCTTAGTGATTGACAGATGGATGAAGACATCAAGTCAGAGCGGCTTTCCATTGTGCTGCCATCGCTTTAGATGCTTCCTTTTAAATACGCCGTTGAACGACTCGAGGTGATTTGTCGTTGGCAGCACTCTCTCCACTGCGCACCCCAGACGAACAGCGGCAACACAGCGACCAAAGTCTGACCAACTCTGCCATAGGGCCTCCCTTCCCCAGTAGTTCTGCAGGTAGTCCAGATGCTCTTGCGCGCTATAAATCAGCGCCAGACCATCAAGAGTCTCAGGGCCGACAAGCGAGTGTTTGAAGGCTGCGAGCACCTCTCGCTCTTCCTCGATGAAGGCTAGAAACGCGGTGTGCTCCTTGGTTTGGACAACCTGGGTCTCGAGGCGCTTCATACGTGCCTTCAAGTCGTGAGCAAAAGGTGATGTGCCCTTCAGAACACGATTGCAATGATTTCGAAAGGACTGACGCAGATGGAATTTGCAAATAAGCAGCCAGATGTTATCGAAGACCGCCGCTAATGCGTTCTGTTCCATGAGATCAGTGTCGGTGATGGCAGCATGGACGGTGACAGCCTCTCCATTCTTCGTCCTGGGAGCTAATTTCCATTCGCGGAGCAGTTCAGTTAGAATCTCAGCGTCGTACCTGGCAGATGTTTGCTTGTTTTTTGTCGGTGCGGAGAACAGCAGAAAGGCTAGCAGTATGCCTCTTCCCTCCTCGTCAATGCCCATAACAATGAACAATAGCATCTTCCGGTTGCAGACACCAAATGTGCCATCAAGGATGATTTGAGAGCAATGTGCATACTTCCAAGCTGCTTCGCGCATCTCAGATGTGGCAATGCACACCTTCAGCCGCTCTTCACAAGTTGTCTGTGCTCTGTAGTGGAATACTGCATTGGCAAGAGCGCGGTTATATTGTGGTGAGTCTGGACTCAGCCATTCGTCAATATTAACATGGGCTGCAGTTGTAGTGCAGACACCATGCATCCAGTTGAACTGGCAGTAAAGTGAGCGATTGTCGCCAGCACGTAGAATCCAATGGTATGCGCTCTTTGAGAAATCGCCAACAGAAGGCTTCCCAGGGTATGTGTGTGCTTGTGCCATGCAAAGGTTTGTCTCCTGGACTTCTGTAATATCTGCACCACATTTGAGCTGAGCAAGGGCAACTTTGAAGACCTCAGGGTGCACTGATTGTGGCGGGTACCAGGTAATGTGTGCGTCCTTGCATTCCTGGTTGTGCTCGAGGTATCCACGTATTGACAACACCATTTTAGATTGAACAACATAGTTAACCTCAACATAGGCAAGACAGGCAGTGAAGGGCATGGGATTTCAACGTGTTTTAACCCCAGCCTGTACATGATTGTAGCCACAATCACTAAGAGCTCAATAGTGAGTGCCAATCCCCTCAAGATTTATATCTATGGCGCACCACTGATACAGAATCCGTGTAGTTACCCCTGCCTCCTTCCCTGTGGTTCGTGTGTATTGCACGCTCCACCGACTACCGAGAGCCTCCTGAGAGTCTTCATCAAGAGCCTCCATTGCCAACACTGCTGCTGCCGCAATCTGGTCATCTTTGGTACGTTGATAAGTGATTGCCATCGTCTTTGACTCATTGTACAGTGCCTCGACCGCACTCCACTGTGTCTCCGTGAGGATAAGCTTTGATGTGTATACATAGGAGGCTTCGCGCTTTGCGCTCAATGTGACCTTCTTGTCACTTGCTTCCGCAGCACTGACATTAGCAAACCGGATGTGCACCGGGTGCCAGTTAGGCCTGTTGGAGGGTCTTGCATTATCTTCTGCAGGTACAGAGGGAGCGGTAGGTGTACTGCTCATGGCAGAGAGGATGTGCGATTGCAAGTGGGTATCACATGTTTGAAACATGCACTAGTAAAGTGAAACCACACTTTTAGTTGTGTAAGTGCTTGGTTTATCTCTGAGATGACTTCACTATTTAATCTTGTGGCAGCTAGTATACAATATATTTGCTGTCTATAATATAATTTTACAAGCTATAATTTGCCTACTGTCAGCAGCAATGACGACGGCGGCGGCGGCGGCAGCAGCAGCGCAGGACTTAGGTGTTTCGAGCGAGAGTGCGCTTACGTGTCGAAGGTGACGAGTGTCAAGGCCTGCGGTGCGGCAGGGTGCTCGAGCCATCCTGCCGGGGCTTCACGTGATCTTCTGTAAAAGGCAGGTGATTGGGTGGGCCCTATCTCCCTAGTTGAGCATGCATGTATAAGTGTCACAAAGTCAGAGGACAGGTCATGTGAAGAATAATGTGAACGTGCAAGGTGGATTGACTCGTGGATATGGACGTCAAGCGCCCATTGCCGATTCCCCTGTATAGTGCCATTGAGGACAATCATAGCACTGAAAATCAATATGATTTTGAACTGATATACGCGGGCGCAAAAGATTCCCCTGCATAGTGCTATTGAGGACAATCATAGCACTCAAATATATATGATTTTGAACTTGAGACAGCAAATGTCACATGCAGGCGCAATATCAGCCAAACAAAAACCCTTCACCTCACCCAAGTCCAGGCCGACATGATGACGGCCGCGGCCTCAGGATGGTTGGCAGCGCAGATGTCACGCAGCTTCAAATAAAGTGGTCACCCTCACAATCAAATAGTTGTCCAGGTTAAGCAAAAATTGTTACGTACACTTGGTCAAGATAACTAGTTTATGATCAACGTAGAGTATGTCAAAGGGTGGATGGCACCTTGGCAACTGAAAGAACCACAGCCTAGACCTCCACACCTCCAACCAATGGTGCCGGAATGTGGACCGTGTTTGTAGACAGGGCTGCCTTGTCCTTCACGTTCGAAGGAGAACCTGAGAGAGAAGCGGTCACCAAAGCGACGCATGGACTGCGCGCAGTAACCGTTGTTCAAGCAGGTGGTGCTGGCAGCAGGTAAGACAGAAGCAGGAGGGCCGTTGAGCAGAATGTATCCATGTTCATGGTACTTGCAAAGGCTGCGCAAGTCGCTGGTGGTCAAGTGGCGAGAGGCTTTGACACTGACACCAGAGAATAACATGTAAGAATACGCAACATCGAAGCTGTCCACAGAGACATAGTTCATGACAGTCATGGAGTGGAAGAGCGCAATGGGCAAGGCAGCTTGTTTTCAGATGTTTGCAACATCAATGGTAGCAGGGGACTAGTGATGTGCGGGCCGGGCCTCAAAGCCTGCAAGCCTGCCAAGCCCGGCCCAAAAAGCCTGGCCCGAGTCAAGCCTGGCAGCGGGCTCAAGGCCGGGCTCGGAGCGTAGTCAAACCCAAGCCCGGCCCGGAAGCCCAGGCTTGGGTGTGCTGGCCCCGTCACTGTTCCCTGAGTTCAGAGTAAGGAGAGAGCGACCTAATATGCACATAGAAGACAAAATGTAGATATTCTAGATATAACGGCTCTCGCCGAGCACGATTGTGCGTCACCATCTGGTGCCTGCCGTAGGCGCACGCCCGTAGACTTCGCTGCAACTCGACTTGTTCCGCAGGTGTAGATCTTCTGGAGGTTATAATTTAGTGAGTACATGCAGTATTAATCTACTACACCCAAATACATTCCCTTTTGATAGCACCGGAACACTCGTTGTATTGTGAGCAAGCCCGGGCTTAAGCCCAAGGCTTGGGCCGGGCTCGGGCTCGGCTCGGGCTCAGGGCTCGGCTCGACGTCGTCACAAGCCCAAGCCCGGGCTTTGAGCCCAAGCCGGGCCCGCACATCACTACAGGGGACATTGCACCTACTGCGATTGTCCACGCGGTCAGAAGTCTACCATGGTATATGATTTTCAATGTTGTTTTTGCAGCCCACATCAAACAGGTGTGGCTTGCACTTGCCGTAAACTGTGGCAAGCAACGCTTCAGATGGTCTTCAGAGATACGGCAAGCGATAACACAATTCTTAGATCCCTTCATTGCAGGTTTGTTTACAGAGCACTACATGGTCAATATTTTAACAGCATACTCAGGAGCTGTTACCATCACTTTCGTGGACAAGAGCATGCTGGAAGTAGCCAACGAACCAGGTTTATTGTAGTGCAGCTACAAACAATTTTAAGCACTTGTACCAATGACAGCAACCAACTTACAGTCGATGCAATGTTCTGCACAGTGGAGATTGCCCAGCTGACATGCTAACAGGCTGGCCCAAGAGTGTGAACGGACTATACCTCGACATGCACTGGTTAGGACTGACTGCCGGCAAATATGTAACCAGAGCTCAGGGGAATTGGAACAGGGGTCTTTCATTAGGCGGCTCATCTTTTTCCATGCAGTGGAACAATTGTGCCCGCACCGCCAATGCCTATAAGCTGGAGGCAGAGTGCACAGTCCTTTTTACTCCCCTTTTGCTCCGCACAAGGTCAAGTCTCCAGTTGTGATCTGCTAGTTCTGCAACGGCTAACAATATCTTGGTTAGTACAGTACACCACTCACGCACCATGCCTGTTGATGCTATTCCCAATGACATGAAGGATATGGCAGCACAAGCCATCTCTCATGAGTGTGGCATTCTGCTCTCTCTCGTGTGGTGAGGCCCTGACCATGTCACTTGCAATTTTGATATCTGCTCACCAATTAATTTTTGGACCTTCATTTAGCCCTGAGGCACCTACACTTGTCCAATCATGGCCGTTGTTGAAGTTAATCGGTCTCGCGAGTGACGGTTCATAGGATGTCGTGGAGGGCGGTGGCCTGAAAGGCTTGGGTGCAGTGGGCCGGGAGCAGTAGATGGCCAGAAGCTTTGCTTACGAAGCCATGCCGTTTTCAGATGACCAGAAGCACCCTAGGGACTGGAAGATTTTCCAGCAACATAGATGGTGAGGGGTAATTTTGTAAGCATTAAATTATGTACAGACATGTTTGATGCACCTTCGAGAGCAATAAATCTTTTAAATCTTGCGACGCTCGTGGGTTTCGAGTGAGGAACGGCGAGTTTGCTCGTACCTTGGGAATTAGTCTCATAGGTGCCGGCTGGCACATTATTAGCGCAAGCTCGGGTTACGCAACATCAGGCTGGGGCACTAAGGCAAGCTCGGGTGCAATGGCTGATTGTCACGTGACTTTTGGGCATGCACGGTTCGGTCCATAACCCGATTCTAGGGGAATCGGAAGCCCTGTCCACGTCCATCACCAGCACTCCCACTAGTACGGGGTGTGCTCTCCCCGCACTGGGTTTCCTATTACTCGTCTGCTCACTTGTTTACACGACACAGAAAATAGTCCACGAATTGGGGTCGGTACCACTAGCTGGCCTCTCTCCGAAGAGACTAGACAGAGAGACTTACACCACGGAGTATTCCAAGTGCCAGACCAAGGGTATCAGAAATATCTTTCCAGGTGGCATAGCTGGGGGAGCCTGAAATTTCCGGGATGCTGGCGAAGTCGAAGTCAGGGTATGCAGTTGTGCCTATCGTACGTGGCTGTCTTGTCCTACATGACGCTACACTAATCCCAAGCATTCTCGCCCTCGCCCTCCCAAGTTCGATCAAGTCTTCACGTTCCTTCACATTGTAAATACGATCTTTTTACTCTCAAGCCCGCTTTTGAATCTCAGTACAGTTAGAACGCGATGAACTAAGGACGACCCCCACGTCTGCAAGCCATCTGCATGTTCATTCTCACGCTGTGCGCCCCTGCCAGTCACCAGGAGATCAATTCACAGCGTGGCTCGTTCTGGTAGTATTATCGCATGGATTCTACGAACATTGTTTCGTCGCCGGCACAGCGATGGAGAAGATCGAGCCTGAACGGCGTCGTAACCGCTACTACTTGCACGCACACTACACACGCATAAGCTGGCGACCCTGTTCGCTTTCGGCCAATATACTTGCCTTTCACAGTAAAACGCTATGCAAGTCGTCGTTTCTGGCGTTATGAAAGCAGCTCTACTCTTTCGTTCTACACTTTTCTTATAAGAAACAGGCGAGATGAAAAAACATCAGTGTCACATCCTACAGTTTCGCGCCCGTAGCGCCTAAAGTGGACAAGAATCGAAGAGCTGTGAGATGTGCTTCCGCTCTAGTTGGATAACTACCTCTGCAAGGCCAATCGTATAGCATAGCGACAAGAATATATCCATTCTCGTTTCCCCATCGTGCGCCTCTCCTCCGCCTACTGCGATGTGCAAGAACACTTATGGAAGTTGTTCAGCCCCAGGCAATGGGTGCCTTTAGATGCAAGACGGGGCGGTGCAAACCGCCTCGAAGAACTCGATGGCCAATATGCTTTGCATCGGACGGCTTAGAAGCGTGTCTGCAGCCTAGATTTGACACGACGGAAACAAAGGCAGTGCTGGGACGCCCTATCCTTGGGAACCTTATATTCAAGAGGTAATGGGGCGTCAACGTTTCAGTCGCACACCCCATACTTCCACTCACAGCCTCGCACGCTCGCAGCCATCCAACGTGCCTTTCCCCCTTGCTCCGCAAATGTCGCAGACTACAGGAGCTGACTTACCACCCGAAGTACTATCATTCGTATTGGCTTCTGTCGTGCCGAGCCATATCAATTACCACAACTCGAGCGAGCGTCGCCGCTCCAAACACGAACTCGTCGCGCCTAGCCTCGTATGCAGATACTGGTCCGAAGTTATCAGGCCTTTTCTCTTCCAAATTCTCATCTTGCGAAGCCATGAAGACGTGCGATTGTTGAAGAACGTCGTGTCCAGCCCCCGATATACATCGTCGTCTCTTTTCGAGGCCATTCAAATTATAGAAATCCACCAAAAAGCTGCAGATACCAAACCCTGGCTCCATCACATCCATGGGCTCTCGACCCGACTTCGTGGTACAATCTTCACATGTACTGTCTTAGGCGATGCGAACGACCCTGCGTCAACGGTCGGACGTTGGGCCCCGTTCAAATCGCTACCCAGCCTCACTCCATCCTATGTACGGCTTTCAGTCCTCACCCTCGATAGGCTCATATTTGCGAGCACGACAGAGCTTGCACGGGTCATCGACAGCTTCTCCACCCTCAAGAAGTGCGACTGCTATGCGCTTACACTCCTCGATCCGTCGCCGGTTACCCACTCCCGCAGGATTCGGCGACGGCTTTCGTCATCTCTGCAGTCGTGCAGGATGTCGCGGTGTAAGGAAATGACGGTTCTGACACAAGCAACACTAGCCTCCGACGTTCTCGTAGCTGCTGCTCGCCTGGGGCTTGATGAACAAACCTGGAGCGGAGTTGTGCACGCAGTACTGGCGTTAGCACCCAGTACATTCAGAGGAGTCCTCGTACGGCTTCATGGCCAGCGTGGTAGCATGTTTGGTATGTCTTTCAACCAGTGCAGACGATAAAAAAACTCATCGGCCATTCGTTATCAGACGGAGCGATAATCTATTGCTCTTCGCCTGTTCAAGATGGCCCCATGAGCGATTATGTCAAAGCTTATGTACAAGTACGCCGGCTGAATGCGAGCCCGGGCGTACCACTCCCACCCGCGTACATCGAGAGTATCGCCCTCGCGCTCTCATCTACCGGCGTCCATGACGTAGAGTCCTTCCCTTGGGACGTTTTGCAACCAGCTATAGACCTTCCGCTCGTGCGCCACCTTCGCTTTGAAGGTCTTGACGGTCAAGAGTACGAAGCCATGAAGAAGATCTTATGCTCGGTCTTGCGCCGGTCGCAGCTAACCTGGGCTCTCGATTCGGGCAAGCTGCAGTTCATTACTTTCGATTCCAACCCCGTTACAAGCGCAGACGTCTTGTCTGTGCCAACGGAGCACACCGTTGACGGCATCGCGATCACCCTCAACACCGCCGAACAAGCCGAATGGCTGCTGCACCCGGTCAGCCATCCTCTGCTGGCCACGAGGAAAGAGTATCTTCGAAAGGTCGTAGCTGAGCGCGCGAGCATGCTCGCGTCTGCGGACACGAGCTCTGGGACTGCGCCGTCTACTGCGGGAGGAGTCCGAGATGCGGCGGTCGGACAGGTTCAAGTGCCAGTGGTGACGACAGCCGATAGGCAGGTAGGAAATGCAGAGAATAGCAGCAAGGAAGACGAGGAGAGATGAAAGTGTCGGCATAGAGCTAACGTGGGCATCAGGAGCAGGAGAGGCCTTGCTGTTCGGCAGATAGACGATCTTTGGGGTAGATCTCACAGCTCATGGGTAGAAGTATCCTTGTGCAAGAAGCCGAAGACGCTGTGTTGAGGTCATGGTGGATCTACAGTAGTGTGCAAGTTGAGAATGACCGGAAGAAAGTATGAGGTGGGAGGTTGATAGGACGAGGCAAGGGGAAAGATATTCGGACGGCTGGAGGATCAGACAAAAGACGTAGGTGTCATCGAGGAATACGCTGTGGAAACTGTGCCCATGATTTGTCCCATATCTACCTCTTTCCGTCTCTTTTTGCTCTACACATACTGCTTCCAAGCTTCGGTGCTATGTTCTTCGATCTCGTGAGGCTTGCGGCGCGTCTCTTAATCTTTTAATCCCAGCTGTGTCTTCCCAGTCATCTCACTCTGTATACAGACTGTGCCATCATTATCGCATAGGTGTTAAATAAGATGACATTGTTCCTATGCGGACTAGAGAGCGGATTTATGAGAGGCCTGTGCGAGCGCAATATAAAGTTGAACGTCGACGCCGCGTGCGCACTGCGCAGGTGCAAGGCGTCAATTCAAGTTGCATTGTGGGCAGCGACTCTCCTGACCGCCATCTGCTGGTCCGAGACAATCACCCGGGAAGTCGTCTGCAGCTCACGGTGGATGAATAGGCGTATCATTCCTGCAAATTCACCTCCCGCTTTGTATCCATATGCGGAACAGGGACTCGCTCACTCATTAAACGCTAGACGCCAACTGGAGCACTGGCAGCGGAACCGATGCTGCACACCTTGTGCTATACGGCATAAGGGAAATCTACATATAGAGTAGTATCGTAGGGCAGTGCGCGGAGATCCGTGAAAGGCGCGAGAAGGGAAGCATGCAGGGCGATACATGGTGAGAATCTGTATAGAGAACTGCCCTACTTTAAGCCCATCGATCACAGTGGCAGATAGCAAGTTCCTCTGGTTCCCACTGCCTCCTTCACCGTGGATCGGAGCATGAGCAGTACGTACGCACTTACTCTGGAGTGTCACTGCAGCGCCCAAAGCCTGCTGGAATACTATCAGGTCGTGCAGGGGGACGGACAGGACGCCAAGAATACCAAAGTCGCAAAGCAGAAGAAAGAGTGAGACGAGGAGGACACTACACAAAAGAGATGGAGATGCACGCAAGCTCCAGACAGCGCAGCACGTCGCCCATCCTGTTCTATGACAGAGACCAGCCTTACTACGAGTTCGCTCATCCCGCTCTTTTCCGACAAATATGTGTCCTCACGTTCCCGACAGGTTTACCAACTTCGCACCATACGCTATCAAGTACGAGGACAAGACATATCCGACTGCAGAACATTGTGAGTGGCACTGCCGAGCTCTACTACATACGCGCTACTGACCACGCCGTAGTATTCCAAGCTCATAAGTTCCTCGACACACGCCCGGCACTCGCAGAAGAAATCAGGAACGCACCTAGTCCACGCGGGGCTCTCGATGAGGCAACCAGGATGCAAAAGCTTCGGCGTGACGACTGGCTCGACGTAAATATCAGCGTTATGGACCAGGTCCTGGAGGCGAAATTTACTCAGCACCCGGCCCTACGCGACACGCTTCTCAAGACAGGGGATAGGGGGATAATTGAGGCCAGTCCTGTGAGTGCGCCTAGCGTACGTAACGTGCAAGTAGTCATATCTGAGCCAACAGGTGGACGGATTCTGGGGTTATGGGGCGGACCGTCAAGGACGAAACGAGCTGGGAAAGGCTCTGATGCGATTAAGAGCCAAGTTGCGGAATGGCATGGCCAGTAGTACTGCAGTTTCTCATACCGCTACCCACTCGACCCGACTCCAAGAAGCAGCCGCCGGGCAGAATTCGAGCCACTACATTTATCCCGTGGTAAGTACCCTGCAAGACGGGCTAGCCACGAGGAGCTGATTGCTTTTTTGTGTGTTTCCGTAGCTGCAGCCCTCTGTTGAATACAAGCGAACACTATCTGAGCGCACAGACTCTGACACGGCGCACACTACCTATCACACTCGTAAGCATGGCTTGCAGCTGTACACGAAACGCATGAGCAAAGACTGACTCTCTTCTGTCGTCGTAGCCGAAGGATCACCTGCACCGTCAGTGCCCACCATCTTCTTCTACGACAGCGGCCAGCCATATTATGAGTAGGTGCAGATACGCCATAAAATAATGGGACGTTGAACGGGATCCTAGATTCACCAATTTCTCACCTCACCCCGTGTTGCATGACGGGAAATCATACCCTACATCTGAACATCGTAAGTCCAAGTCTTCCCTTGCACGGGCCATTCACTCACGTACGCCAGTATTCCAAGCGCACAAGTTTCTCAACAGCGCCCCCGATCTAGCTGAGCGTATTCGAATGCAGCCCACATCGAGAGCCGCATTGAAGGAGGCAACACATCTCCGCCATTACCAGCGAAACGACTGGTTCGACGTGAACTTGAGCTGCATGGACGCCGTCCTCGAAGCGAAGTTCACGCAGCATCCTCAGCTGCGCGACATGCTGGTCTCAACGGGCGACAAGGAGCTGGTCGAAGCAAGCCCTGTGAGTCGTTGTCGTTCATTCTTGGCGCGCAAAAGGCTGAAACATCACTCCGCAGGTGGACGCATTCTGGGGATACGGTGACGACAAACAAGGCAGAAATGAGCTAGGAAAAGCTCTGGTGAGACTCAGAGAGAAGTTCCGCACGCAGGGAGCGCAGAGGAACACTGGACGGGCGCCAAGCAATAGTGGGCAACCACATGTGCCAGCCCCTCCTGTACGTGGTCCGCTCCCTCCGTACAACGCTTTTTCCAGTACGCCACCATCCGAGGCAACACCGAAACCTGTCACCCGTGCGCAGTCGCGAAAAGAGCGTGCCAACATGCTCGTCGCCTCTTTCTCCACTAAGATCTCGGGGTCTCGTCGTCGCCCTTTGCTCCATGTCCGAGCGTGGTTGGCTGAGCTCCTCGAAGAGAAGGAAACCCCTCTTGTTGTGGCCACCGTGAGGCTCATCAACATCGAGTGGGACCCGACTGGTTCATCCTTGTCCTTACATTTCGCCAAGCGCCCGCCTATGTCCGTGCAGCGCTTGCTCGATGAGCGTGCAGTCTGGTTCGCCAACACACAGCCCTCGGAGCCGCCGATCGATGTGACCGTGGAGTTCTATATTCCGGTTACCCTCCTCCAGATTGACCCCGTCCCATACCAGGACAACGGCGGCAATGAGCTTTCTTCCGAAGTCATCCATGACAAGCTTGTCGCTAGCAACCCTCAGCTCGGCGACGACCTGCTGCCGTGCACTTATCCACCACACCCGTTTTTCTGGGGCCGAAGAACTTTTGGCTCTGGCCTCCTCATTGTCGCAATTCTCGACGACGATAAGAGGTCGCACGCTCGCGCTATCGTCAAAAAGTCCATCGTCTTTGATAAAGAACGGTGTTTGGCTTCCATATATACGCCGCCTCTTGTCAACGCTTTTTGCACCACTTGCTATCGGTGGGGCCACGCTTCCCCTCACTGCGGGTCCGGCAAAAACGCCACATTTTGCGCGCGTTGTGGAGGTGATCACACGACCCGCCAGCACGGCCGCGTTGCTCTGTGCTGCCACGAAACACGAACGAGATATAATCGCGCGGAAGCCGATTGTCCCCCTGACCACGATTTCTGCCCCAACTGCGGTCACCCCGGCCACCGCGCAAATTCTCGACGTTGCGTGTACTTCCAGAACCGCTTCAGCCGCGAATGGCTTCAGACTAATCCCCCGAGGCACCCAGGGCCGGGTACTAGCCGAAACTTCAAGTATATCAGCTACAGGGATCCCAAGGCGAGCGCCGCAGGTCTGCCAAGTAGTGCTTCGCAAGGTGGGGAGTTCAGGGTGGAGCAAGTCACATGGGGTGGCCTCTCCGATCCAGAAGATCAGGCTCCGCCCTTGCCGTAATCTGGGGTAGTATACGTCCTTCCTGCTTGTTTCCTGTACATATGCGAAACTACGCACAAAATTTGTGTCAAATGCCAATCTCTACGTACCGCATCGCAGATTCTAATCCTCGTCCGTCTACCCAGGTATGCGCGAGACTGCGCACTGAGGGGTTTCTGTGCATCACTGTTCTTCGCTCGTAGGTTCGTGCATGATCCGGACCTTCTAGCTTGAGCAGCCCAAGACGCCACAGAAGCAGATTTGTTTTCAGCTATACATGCTTCGTCCCTATGAGACAACGCATTGTCCAAGCCCGAAACATGGCGAGACGAGCCCAGGCTGGGTGGAGGTGAATCATAAGACGCGTGACTCAACGTGTAACCCATACGTAGGTAAGAAATCCAAGCCCTGCCATAGGATGTGACATGCATTTCGTGCAATGTGCTCTCTCGCGGCCAAACTCGGATCAGACTACATGGGCTAATCCTGCTCGCTGTGAGTAGGCTACAAGGTAATGAGACCTCACGTATCTGGTTATTCACACAACCACACGACACTGCCGTTCTCGAATGTGGCTCTTAAAGTACCTATTCCTGTGAAGATGGTGGGCCGTAGGATGTTGTCAAGCTCTGTGGACAGCTGCGTTTCCATGCCGAGATCTGGTTAGCATGCACCATGGCTAATAGGATGCATAGCATTTTTCATGCGTTCGAGTTAGTGCGTTTGGAAACCTCGGCATTATGAGCACGGTGTACGAGGAGTTGAAGAGACTTGCGTCTGACCTTGTCGTGCGCTCACTGCAGATCTCTGAGCGGATCAGATTCAGAAATTGATGCGCCTGATCTGCCTACTCAATATTCAATCTCGATAGTCATGTATTTGTCTGCACGGAAATCGACATGCTTCTCCAGCCCGGCCCATCTGGTCAGCAAGTGAAAGCACTGATGCAAGAAAACAAGTCGAATCTATACAACGGCCATGAGCTGATTTCCTAGCTAGTACACAGCAATCTATAGTACATTCTAGAGAGAGTACATTCTACGGGTTAAATAACAGAAGTAATACAAGAATAATACACCCATGTTCCCTGTTGTTGTAGTCGTTCGGCGCCACCCAATATAAAGCCTTCAGTTGTCATACACAGTCTAATCGTGATCTAATCCAAGCTCCACTCCACATTGTGGAGACGGCCGACGGACAAGGGGGCAAGCGCCTCGAAAGCGGAAGGGGAGAAGTCGAGGTCGAATGTGCTGCAGCCAGTGCAGCGATCGACAACCTCGACGGTGACGCTCTGGCCATTGTCTGACATGTGCATGCATTAGTAGCTGGCTCATAAATGGTACGAACAGACAAAGCGCTCACAATTGGCAGTAATCTGCCGGCCGCAAATAGGATTGTCGTTAGGATTAACACCATTGTAACCTCTATTATTCCCCTTTCTCATCAATACCACATCATATAACCAACTAGACATATGCACTCACGGGTAAGTGTCGAAGAATCCTTCAGCGACAGCGACGATAAAATCGCTTGCGGAGTTAGTGAAACCGCACGCGCCGAGCCCGGGCTCAAACCAGGTCCCTGTGGGTTTGCACTCGTCAAGACAGGAGCAAAGACGCCGTGCCGCGAAAGTACATACCGTCACCGGAGTTCGTTTCGTCGGTGTCGACGTCTGTAGTTTGAGAGCCACACGTAGGTGCGGCGATGACAGGGAGGGATATCGTGATGGCAAGGACAAGGAAAACGTTGAATTTGGTAGAGAACATCCTTGCAACTGAAAGAGGGAGGGAGGGGCTGTGAGCAGGCTTCAATAGTGGACTTGGAGACGATGCTGTCGACTACCCGACAACCTGTGCAGACTTTATAGGCCCTGCGTGCGAAAATACGATATAAGCTACGTCCATGAACGGAACCGAGAAGCTGGGTGAGGATGGTTGAACTTTGACTATTGTCACCCTCAATCCAAAATACCATGCGGTACCGCTTCGGTACACGAGTTTGCTGTCGCCAACGCCGGTGAACGGGAAGACATGCGTCTCCCGAGTAGAGATAGAACAGATCATCATCTTACGTACCATATATTGCAACGGCGCTTTACAAGGAAACTTCTGTCAAACCGTTGTACCGAGTGGGGAGTGAAAAAAATGGTGAGAAAAAAACCTATGCATGCGGACTTTCGAGACATGTCTGGCTACTCACTTCCACAAATACAGCGTCAATGAGGTCTGATGCATTTGTAGCTTAGCTATGAGCGCAAGCGTCAACGATATGCAATTTGACGCTGAACATGCAGGAGGGGCTTGCAGCGTTCATTCGAGATGGACACCCTGCAACGTAAGAAACGCGTGTGCATTCGCATATTGCCGATGAGAAACCGCACCCAAATCTGCCAAGCAGGGAAGTCAGGTACAGGTCCCGAGAGCAAAGCCTGTGCTACTTACAACACTAGGTGTACACCCTGTCAAGTGGCGCGTACTACGTTGCGACCTGTTTGACATATAATATACGCTTAGTCCTCAACAAGATTTTCCTAGTCCATAACTCACATATGCGAGCGACGTTATGGGTAGAACTACAAGCTACGGGTAGGGGTGAGCGTTCGGTATAGGTAATGACGGAGCGCCGATCCTATGATTACTCAGGCCAATATATTTTGCTTCGAAGGTCCTACGAGCAGGGCTAAGGGGACTGGGTTAATTACAAAGCACGAGAAAAAGACCGCAGCGTTGACGTCGAGGAATGGGGGGACTTACGTTCGCAGTTCCCCGAAATTTGCTACTTCGCAGCGTGCCGGGCTGGACGGAGGCTAATCAGCGCGCACACACCTTTGATTCTTGAGCTTGCTAACCTTAACTGCGAACGTGTGCCTGGACCAAGATGTATGCGAGAACATTCAGCAGGGCCCAGGCCTGGCTGATAGGTACCGGTTGCAATGTGTGCATCGTGTGACGTACCTCGCGGCGTCTTGCGCTCTGAACAGATAGAGACTGGATGACCGTCGACGTGTATAGGACCGCTTGCTCGCCTCATGGGCAGCGGTGTGAAGCCGCATGCGGCCGCGTAATATGGTGTCTGGACGTCGCGGCGAAGCTTAACGAGGACCAGGTGTTCTGCGCTGTGTGGGAACGGATCAGCTTTATTGGTTTGCTCCTCGGGCACTCCGGGCGCCCCGCACCGCGAAGTGCCGCAGCTCCGTACAGGGCATATGATGATAGGTGCCTGGTCCGTCTCCTAGGTCAGTTGCAACCATCGCACCTAGTGAATGAGACAACTTGTTACTTACGAATATCAGTCCTTGCAACATCAATCATCTTCCTAAAGCCGCCAGCGGTGATCTTGTAACTTACCCATGCACATGTGCACCTGTGCATCTTTTGTAAAATGAGGCATGCTCATGAATGACCCTGATTTCTGGGAGTTTGTTTGACGCTGTTAGGATCTAAAGCATCCGCTTGCCAGATTTGGTGCTTGAGCTCGCACTTGGCCAGCGGACAAGTCGCCCAGTTCCTCAAGAAGTGAGGACTACGAAAGGCAGCTGTACGTAACGTCGACTGAGGTCGATTTGACGTGCACCCGACTCGAGCAACATAGGCACAGCTGGGTCTGCACATCATGTACCGCTGACGAAAGAGTGTCCGGTGCTGCAGAGGGAAGACGCTGGCATGCGGTCGCTCCGGCATCCTATGGACCGCCCAGACATACGGCATGGCGATATTCATAACTCAGGCACAGGAGGCGCTGCGCAATGAGCGAAATTCAACCGCGTGCAATGCGACTCTGGGTATAGGGTATGTCAGGGTTAACAAATGCGGCGGACAACGGCGGCCCTACTTTGTCGCCAGGGCCGTAGCAAAGCGCTATCAGCCTCTCGCGCGTTTAACAGCTCGCCACACAGAGGTCGTGCACAACCAAAGTGCCATTGTGCCAGTGCTGGAGACGTCGAGATACACACTGAGCAACCCCGTCCAATCATCTATTCCACGTGCGTGTTTTTTAATCCCAGTCGAGAAAAAAGAGCAACCCTAGCCCTCCTGCACCATGCATCAGCACCCGCTACCGGACGGCACACGCCCTTACCGCGCACTGCTCACCTGCTTCCCCTCCTCCGTGTGCTGCTCCGCGTGCTTCTCCGCGCTCGGGCTCCCCGGGCGCGTCGCCGCACGACTGGGGCTCGCGCTCGGGTTCGCGCTCTCGTCCCAGTCGGAACCCTCGGCCATGAGCGCGTGCATGCCCATCTTGGCGAGCTTCTTGTCGAACACGCGGTGGCGGTATCCGCTCACGAGGCGCGCGAGCAGGTCCGACGTGCTGATGCCCGGCGTGCGCCGCGTCGGCAGGAAGCGGCCCTGCATCTTGCAGAACGCGTACACGTCGTCGTGCCCCGCGCTGCCGTACGGGTCCACATCGTGCGCGACGTAGTCGATGTTGTACTGCGGGAGCAGGTGTGAGTCCAGGGATAGAGAGAGAGAGCAGCGGGAAGGAGAGAGAGTGCGCACCTTCTCGAGAAAATCGGCTCCGATGACCCATGGCGCTTCTGGCACGACTTCGTCCACCCACCGGCAGTGCCGTACGGCCTCGCATCTAAGCGCCCGTCAGTATTATACCACATTTGTCATATGTACAAAAGTGTGTACCGCTCTGCGTGGGACATGACGGTCCGGCTCTTATTGCTTTCGCACTGTTCATCCGAGTTGACGCCCGCGAGCAAGTACACACCGGGTGTCCATTCGCCCTCTCGATTCTCCGGTGAGACAGCCGGGAACGCAAGCTTTGCTTGGCGTAACTGAAGGGCGTGGCTGTTGGAAGAGGGTTATCTGATGTTGTGAACAGGTCCCAGAAAGAAAGCGCACCCGAAGTGGAACAGATCATATACACCTGAAAGGAGTAGGTCAGCGTTGGAATACTCAATCTAATCAAGGTAGCATGCGCTAGCGAAAGGGCTTTTCGCGTGCGCAGAGTCGGAAAGGGGTCATATGGATATAGGTCCACCGAACTCTTTATCGTCGTTGAGGGTATTGGGGTGTTTGGGAAATGCAGACCACGGTAAGAGACCATAGAAAAAACGACGAAGCACTTACCATCGGCGTATACTCTGACAGGCCTGCGGTGTGCCGGCTCGTTAATCTTGTAATATTTGTCGCCAACTTTACAGCCGGGCCCATCAATCGTCTGAACGCAGATCATACGTGCTGTCAATCAATGCTTTTTTCTCGCCTCGAGCGACGCTGCGACGCACCTGGCGGAACCACGCTTGGATATCCTCCGGACTCAGCTTTGCGGGGTCAAACGATAGCGGGTTGCTCAAGTACGAGCTGCTTGCGGGCGATGGCTCTGTGGGGCGGGACGGGTGGCTTGGGGTCGGTCGATGGAGGGTGGGAGGAGAAGGGGTGCTTTGCGGGGCGTTTGCGCTTCCATTGGCGAACGAAGGGCCGGTCGGTGAGGCAGGGGAGAGGGTAGAAGCAACTGAGGACGCGTAGTGCTCCCTCCGGTTGACCAAAGACGAGGTATAGGGCGTTTCCGGGCCGGCGGTCGTGCAGCTCTCGATGTCTCCGTCGTACGTGGGCGAGTCCACGCCCTCGTCGGACTCAATGAGTGCGGATGCCAGGGCATGTCTCCGCGCAGCGTTTGACTTGTTCGTGGCGGAGCGCGAGCGGGAGTTGCTGGACGGATGCGCGGACGAAGCGTGGACTGAAGCGGCGGACGCGCTGCTGTCTGTGAGGGGGTCATTGTCCTCTTCTGAAGCGTCGTACGCTGGGGAATCGACCGAACGGCCGTGAGCGAGGTTGGCGTGCATCGGGTGCTTGCTGCCAAACGAGCGTTTCACGTGGAGAGAGCGGGACTGGGAGAGCTTGGTGCCGGGAGCGGTGGTAGTCGTCGCAATCGGTGGTTCCATCGCAACAGATGATGAGTATCGAACTGATGGAGAGCGGAAGGCGTCGTGGTGAAGGGAACTAGCTGCTCGAGATCAGATAACTCCGAGCTGGAGATTCGGAGCCAAAATCTTTGCGTGCTTTGCAAGAGCAGTCGCGACGTAGTTGAGATGCTGCAGCAAAAAGTTGCGTTTGTCTGTTGGCCGACGAGTGTAAGAGCAGGCCGCGGATGTCAGCCAGGCCGCAGGGGCAATCTTCGAGTCTTCTCCACAGAGCCTGACTGGTTGTTAGGGTTAGGGTGATGTCATCCACGTGCGTCTCCTCATTGGCTTGTGATTTCCCGGGATATGCCGAAGGATCACACCACTCCATCCTTCGTCTCAACAAGTTTTTTTCTCTTGGTGGGTTATCTCGCCTCTAGTCCCAACATAGGGTGTCATGATTATCAATCGGTTTCCTGAATCCCCATCAGGTGATCTGCTGGAATGCACTGCGGGGGCAATCTAAGACAAGGAAAATATTGTAGATAACAGGATGGAGATGGAGGAGAGATCTGAGGGCAAGCTCGAGCCCGGAAAGTAATTACAGATTCCCTGAGACCTATGAGCTCAGGGATTCACAAAGAGGCTGCACGCTGTGTGAGGCCTCGAGAGTCGCGGTACGTGAGTAAGTTGATAACAAAGGTCGAGAGGGGAACGCGGAGAAGTAGTACATTCAATCGTAAAATCAGAGCATAATAATGGAAATACGGGGGAGGATTATCTCTTCTCTCTTGCAGAGCGCATGTACACGTCGTAAATGCAGCTGAGTAAAAAGGTGCGAAGAGAATAAGGGATAATGATATAGTAAAGAGGTAGGCACATGGTGTACATGTAAAGGAGTTTGGCACTGCATTTTGATACAACAAGCAGGAGGGTTGTCAGGAGACGCGAACTAGCGGTGAAGCCTTGAAATCATGGTCGACTTTGAAGTGGATGGGGATTGTCTCAAGCTAGCGTAAAGCGCACAGGTAGTGATGTGCGGGCCGGGCCTCAAAGCCTCCAAGCCCGCCAAGCCCGGCCCAAAAAGCCTGGCCCGAGTCAAGCCTGGTAGCGGGCTCAAGGCCGGGCTCGGAGCGTAGTCAAACCCAAGCCCGGCCCGGAAGCCCAGGCTTGGGTGTGCTGGCTCCATTACCGTTCCCTGAGTTCAGAATGAGGAGAGAGCGACCTAATATGCACATAGAAGACAAAATGTAGATATTCTAGATGTAACGGCTCCCGCCGAGCACGATTGTGCGTCACCATCTGGTGCCTGCCGTAGGCGCACGCTCGTGGACTTCGCTGCGACTCGACTTGTTCCGCAGATGTAGATCTTCTGGAGGTTATAATTTAGTGAGTACATGCAGTATTAATCTACTACACCCAAATACATTCCCTTTTGATAGCACCGGAACACTCGTTGTATTGTGAGCAAGCCCGGGCTTAAGCCCAAGGCTTGGGCCGGGCTCGGGCTCGGCTCGGGCTCAGGGCTCGGCTCGACGTCGTCACAAGCCCAAGCCCGGGCTTTGAGCCCAAGCCGGGCCCGCACATCACTACGCACAGGAAGGGATGGCTTTCCCGCGTGAGACATGGATCGCCAATAAATCTGCTCCTGGCCCGGCCCACCATCCCGCCTCTTCCCGCCTCTGCTCTTAGCGCGTGACGAGTTCATTTGATTCTTGCGTCCAAGCGTTGAAAGATTTGAGTGCATCCTCCATCGTTGTGTTGATGGTCCCAGCCGCAATGTACCATTAATTAAAAACAGTGAACGCAGCAATATCAATATATCAGGTGCGTGGTATAAGGCATGTAGCCCCTTTAATTTGTCTGAAATAAGTTTATGCTAGGTACAGCCAAAACCATACCTTCGATTTCGGTGCACCATGAGGTGGCGAAGGCCTTCCATGGTCCGCTTGAAAATTCCTCGAGCTCAGTTGTGGAAATATGCGGCACTAATTTTCTCAATGGGATGGTGTGCTTTGAGTTGTTCACCGTATTGGCAAGCAGGTCAGAGAGAGTTGCGTGTCTTCTCCCGGACACAACAGCGTGAAGACTTGAGCGCTGTCTCAAAACCCGAGATATTTAAGGAAGTTTTTTGAAGTCAATATTGAAATCTCTGTCCTCTGAGTTGCCACAAAGGCGAAGAAGTCGTTAAGAGCTCCATGTGCGGTGTGGTACGGTGATACCAACTTGCCACGGCCTGTAGGCTGGCGGAGGCATGCTGAGGCATTTTCCTAAAGGTACCGTAACGTGCAATTGATATTGGCTTATTATTCTTTCTCTGTGGTAGAATATACAGCGTGCTGGGCGGACTGCCCTCATATCCGCTGTTAGCGGTCTCTATTTGTCTCGTACAAATAGACTTGCCTATTTTAGAAGTGGGCGGAGGGATGACCGCAGGGCGGGAGCAGATCCGTCACGGTATGACGATCTATGTCTCATAGCTAAGGTACGGTATCAGCGGGAAAGCCATCCACTTTAGGCTAGTTTCGGAATCAATATTGAGCACACATGAGACTGAGCTAAGCTCGAGACGATCCAGCATGCGCGCGAAAGCTGACCAAGCCTGCGCGCCTTACCCTATTCCGATTCCCTTTAGAGAATTGGTTAACACACTGACTCAGAAGCTTTAGCCGCTGGTTCCCCCCCCCCCCCCCAACGGACTCGTAGGTCCGATCCGAGTGATCCGAAGCGCACAGCGCCGTTGTTCTCAGCCTGGCGAGGACGTCTGCGAACGATTAGTACGAAACACCATCGTCTCGCAAGTCTATTCACGGTCGCCGCTCTGGTGCCATACGGTGTGCTTTCAGCATCTCGACAAGCAGTCGTCTTACCACCAGGAACTGCTAGCCACCCACAGCGCTAGACCGGGTGCACACGATGGTTTCACGCTGAGCGCAACCTACTCGGCACTCCACACCTCGATGAGTTCACCCACCCGACGAATGTGCTGACCACGAAACGTAGTGAGATGAAGAGTGG